GAGCGGAACACAGAGAATGAACCTGGATGTCTGTAATGAGTACTGTGAGTATTCAGGTGATCAGCACAAGAATGTGAAGAAACTACCAGAGGCTTAAGGGTGACCCACCAAAAAGGATGAAAGGGAACAGTGCTAGTACTCGTGCAGGGCCAGGAGTAATACCTGATCCAGTCGAATTGGAAAATCTTAGAATTCACAGATCAATTCTGGGTGCTCAGAAGAATCTTGCCTCAGTTATGAGAAATACATATTCCTAGAATGAGGATTGCTCCCATTCCTTCTCCACATCTTAACAGTAAGATCCAAAAGGATCAGTCATTTCCAATTTAACCACACTCGAGAACAAAAATCAACAAAATTTATGATAATACAAAAATACCCAACACCCAGCAGACAAAACTCATAATGTCTAGCATCCAGTCAAGAGTTAACAGGCATGCAAGAGGCAGGAACATGTGAGCCATTAATAAAGAAAAAATTCAATCAAAACTGACCCAGTCACACAGTCAATATGCTGGCCTAGCTGGACTTGTTCACTTTGCTTTTGTCCTGCTCCTGCATCCTAAGCTAAGCAGTGAAATGGGTCAGTCTCCTTTGGTACATGAGAACATTTGTGTCTTTACCCACAAAGGCACAAGACTCTCGGATGTTCCTGCTTGGAGCAGACCCAGATGACCTGGCAGGCACACCAGCCACACGAAACATACACTTTCTGTTCTACTCCTGGTCCAGAGATATTTTTCTTGCTTTAGAACATGGCTATGGCTTTTGAGCTTTCTACTTTTATATTTTAGCTCTCACGGCTATGCGTTTGGATCACGGGGGAAGCTTTCAAATGTGATATTACCAGACTATGTCATCTGGAAGTCCCCACTCATTTCCTGAAACTCCTCCCTTACTTTCAACCACACTCTCAGTTTTCCTTTCACGGCTCTGATTACTGTCTTTCTCTGAATCTCCCTTCTCTGCTCATCCACTACATGTGAGGACTTTTGTTCATTCTAATGTTTAATGGACATTTTGTACACATGTATTAAAAACACACTATATATGTAATATGCAGTTATTAAATATGGACTTTTAAGGACTCCATACTTGGCCATTTTCTTTCCTTAAGCTATGCTAAAAATTCTTTTGTTAAAAATGATTTTCCAAGGAAGATTTTTCTTTTTAACTCATGATAGTTTGTGTGCACACATGTGAGTGAGTAAGAAAGAGAATGGGAATTCTGTGGAGTCTGGTCATGTCACAATCCTCCTCTTTAAGTCACTCACATGCACACCATACATGTTTTATCCTGACTATGCCAGAGATTCCAACTATGGTTGCCGTGTGGGATCCAGCTTCTCTCCAGCTGTGTATTAGCACTGTGTCACAGAGCTGGCCCGCTAAAGGTTTTTTAATGAGGCTTTATAAGCCTGTGATCCTCTGCAGTTACAACAATTCTGGGATTTCCATTTTTATAAGTTGAAAGTACTGTTGCTGGAACATTTATTTCATTTATAAATGTAATTAATTAATTAAAATAACTCTGGGAGTCATGGCAGGAATCATGTATGATAAGTAGATAGCTACAAGTAGAAGTGGCAAGTGAAGAAATGAAATATTCTTCAAAATCCATGCATCCAGCTCATGAGGAACGTAACTGGGTCCCTGTTGGTGCTGTCAAGGAGAGTACACAGGAATAAAACAAGGTGGTTAAATGAAGGGCAAATAATGGGCTGAGTGTGAGTCTCTCGTTAATTACGGATGCAGACTGCAATGTGTGCACGTGTTTGTGATGTTTTCAGTCATCAAAGATGTAGGTAGTGCTCTTCAGACACAGGATAACCATACAACCAACAGACAGCCTCTGCCTTCATGGAGTGTACAGTATAGTCTTCATTTTCTTATTTTAACTCTGCTCCTCCCCTTCCTTTAGGAAATCGTGTAAATGTGGCAACTGAAGAAAGGAACAGGGACAGGACCATGAGACAAGACAGGAGGATATCTTACCTAGTTCTGCTTCCAACATCCTCAAGTTCTCCTTTGAGACTGAAACCTAAAGAGGAATAGAACAGGCTTTTTTGTGTTTGTTTGTTTTGCTAATAAGACAGAGCGGCACAAATAAACCAAAGGAACACAGTTAAGAAGTGCAAAAAAGTGGCCATATTTCCCAAAACACCTCCGTGCTCTGATTACCTATTAGGGGTCATCTTTGAATTGGAGGTCAGGGGAGCTTGGGGCAAGAGAAACAAAGTTCATATGTAAATAAGCTAGGCTCTTCCTTTATAGGAGAGCTGGTTAAGGGACGCTTGACCAAGAGTACAGAATCCCTGTTCCCTGACACCACAAAGTATCTATTACAGGAGACGTTCCTTCTGGCGCCGGGAAGCATTTAGTTTTTGCTTAGTGTTCTGTAGAGGATGAGCTATAGGGTGGGGGCAGGGGTGGGAGTTAGCGGGCTGTTAAAACGAGAATACTCTGAACAGGACCCACTATTCCAAGCAAGGCCAGGAAAAGATCAAGTCCCCATGAGCCATCTCAGCTGATAAATACAGAGGTCCCCTAACGTTCACAGCAGAAAAGATTTTCTAATATATGCCATTGAATAGAATGTCATTTCTCTCCTAGATTAATTCCACAATTAAATCAAACAAGGCTTGAGACCACACTAGAGACCAGAGCTGTGTGCTACAATTTTAAGCTATGTTTCAGTAACAGTATTTTCATACGTCCAAGTATTGTCAATAAAATCAAAAGTACTTTAATGTGGAAATCCCCGGAGACAGATACTAGCTTCTGTCTAAGACTGAAAGGCTGTCTCAACGAATTGTTTTTTTAAATAAACTTATTCTGAGATCCAGGAGCCATGATCCTAACCCAAACTTGCTCATCCTTCAGGATTCTCCATCATCACTGGGTGTCACTAATTGTACAAACAGGCCCCCTGGAGAGGCTTTCATCTCAGGACCTTTCTTTACTGAGAGGTAGGCTTCTTTAGAAGGCTAATGGAACAATCAAAGTCATCTGCAGAAAATACTGCAAACTATCAACTAATGGTTGGAATTTAAAGCCTCCTAAGATCTGTAATACTGCTTTTTTTCAAACTTTTTCGGAAGCTGCCTTCATTTCAGTTGTCAAGACAATTCACTGAAGATCTCTTTCTCTTTCTTTCTCTTCCTTTCTTTCCTGAGAGAGCTAGCAAGGCCAGTGTAGAGGGTGGTGAGTGGGGGGATATTTTTAACAGATCTCATCCTCCTGCCCCAGCTTCCCAGTCAGCTAGCCCCACAGGCACCTGGCACCCTCAGCTTGCTAAGGTTGAGGGGGGAACCAAACCAGGCTTCCCATGTGGCCCAAGGCAGGGCTCCAGCACTGCACCCCGCTTGCCACTTGGACTGGATCAAGACTTCCTTTTCCCTTATCCTATCCATAGTAGTAAAGAAAAGCAGGTCTTACTCCTTTCACTGAGTCTCATCACTTTCTGTCCCCCTACCAAGCCCTGGTTTTCATTCTTAACCCCAGCTTGTCTACCTCCGGCCTCCAGGAATCTGCCGCGTCCAGGCACTGGTCTCTGCACACGAAGGCTGACGAGGCCGAGGCCGAGGCCAGGGGAGGGCCAAAAGTCCTGCCTCAAACTCTCGGACAAATAAACCAGCTGCGATGGACTAGGGACCTGGCCACCACCTGTTCCCGCAGAGGAACCTCTTGGCTGGCAGGCTGGGCTGAGGGAATTCCATTCCTTCGTGGCCTGGACAGTGGGCGACACGTCGGGTGACCCCAGGACAGAGGCTGGCCAGGCCCTGGAGCACAGTGCAGGCCTTCACACAGAGGAATGAAGAGTCCTGGCCTGCGGAGACCCAGGCGGAACCCGCGCACTGCACGTGACCTGCCCTGCACGTGACCTGCTCACCACGTGACCCGCAGCAATTCCTCTTCCTAGACTGGGTGGCCTACAGTAAGCCCTAGGTTGCTTTTAAAAGACCCATGAACTGAGTACTGGATCCTGGAGCTCAGGGCTGGCCCTTCCAAGCTGGGGCATCGCCCAGTACCTCTGGAAGGTAAAGATTTTTAACAAAGAGCTGTGGCAGCCGGAAGTGTTTCTAGAGTGTGGAGAATTAGAAGAGGTTGAGCGTGCCGGGTGAGATGCAGGACAGATGGTAGAGAGAAAAGAGAGCAAACAGGACATGATGTGTGCTCGCCAATGACAACGATGGTGATTGTTTCTATGAGAATGTGGAGGGCTGGAGCCCATCTCACCAATACCTGGCCACCCAACCAGTAGACGCTCAACGCATAGTTGCATACTTTGCCCAAGAGACTAATTCCAGAATTGCCTAATAGAAATGTAATATGACTGCATGTGTAATTCTACATTTTTATCAACCACATATAATAGAAATAATTATGTCAAATTAATTTTCTTTTAACTTAATATGGCAAATGTTATTATTTGGAGGCATAAAATTAGTATTTTAAAATATCGAAGAAATAGTTTACTTCCCATATTATCACTACTCATTTGTATCCATATCAGTCAGTGGTGATCTAGATTCTTTGTTATTCTAGATCAAAGTTATAGACAATTGCCCAAAGGTATGGGCAGTTCCTCCACCTAACAGGACAGTGCAGCACATCCTACACTGTGGAGAGAGTGACACCACCATGAAAGTCAGGCAGAAGGGCTCTATCTGTTCTATCTATTAAAATGCATTCCCAGAGTTTTTAATGTTTGTGTGTGTTTTAACTTTTTATTTCTTTGCAATAGGCAGGTGTACTCACCCCCGAGAGAGAAAGAGAAAGTGAGAAAACAACCCCCAGGGGTGATGGCCATGCTGCAATCCCCTCTCAAATGCCTGGGGTGATTTTTGTTTTTTCTCCCAAGCTTCTGGGTTCAGGACTCAAATTGTGCCATGCAGGACACAGCTGTCTTAAATCACCATGCTACTTGACTGCTTCCCCCACCCCCAGAATTTATGCACCTACTCATTACCAGGTTTTGACCTGGCCTTACCAGAGAATAGAGGAAGCCTTGCTCTCTGTAAACTGTAAGACCACCTGACCTGCCTAACTCGAGACCTCCTCACCCAGTACTTAGTATATAGTTGGAGCGGGGACATGGCAATGAATAGCCTTTCTTCTGTGGCCTGTAGTTATCGTCCTACCTCATTGTCCCTGTTAGAGAAAGAAAAAAAAAAAAACCCTTCATTTTAAACATGTTGACATATTAGGTGGCACTTGCTGTGCTACACCTGAGCATGCTGCTTTCACGTATACCACAACCTCACTCAATCTTTTCGGCAGCTTTGATTTAGATGTTTGATTCTCTCTTTTCTTTTTTCCAATGGAGAAAGTAAGGCTTGGAGAAGTGTTACAACTTTATGTTGAGAGAACTTAGGAATGAAAAACAAAATTTCTAATCAAGTGCCCCTGCTCTAGTGAGGTCCCTAAGGGAGATGTGTGGAAAAATGTCATGCGACGGGACTTGGCATTTCAGACCCTAGAAGCCTGCGGTCACAGCAAATGAACATCTAGGTATACTTCACACCCGGGACAGTCCTGGAATCCAAATCTGGGTCAGCCCAAGGCCCTGGCAGAGACTCACTGTGTCATGTTGGACAAGGCCATTTCATAGTAATAATAACAACAACCAGCGTTTACTGACCTCCCATGTGCCAGACTCTGCCCTAGGCAAGGGCTCATGTACTTCCTCTTCCTCATGGAAAGATCGTTTATTTTGTAGATTAGAAAACTAGGACTCAAATAAAAAGCAAATTATTAAAAGTTATAAATCCAATAAGCAGGAGAGCCAGGATGAGAAAATATTATTAAAAGCATTGTTGTTTATGTTATGCCATTTAAAACCCCCAACCCCATTGCATATTTACAAAGAATATTGCTAAAGAATAGCAATATTCCATCCATGTACATGACAAACAGTATGTGTTGTTACAAATCTCCAAGTTTGTAAAGATAGGCAAATTGGAATTGGTTTCAAGGTGCTTTTTTTAAATATAAAAAAATAAAGGCTTTATTATTCATTTGTAATGTGTGGTAACATGTCAAAACAATGAAAAACATGGGCATTCAAAAGAGATAAGACTGTTTGGCTAGCAAAGCTGTTGTAATCATTTATGGAAAAGGAAAACTAAAAGCACTTTGAATGTATAAAGAGGTGGCAAATGTCATACTATCACAAACATATTAAAGTAAATTGCAGTGATATATAAATGAAAAATAAAATGAGATGCATTTCCTAGTCTTCATTACAAGTCTGCAACTTGGGGGAAAAAAAAGAAAAAGAATGAAAATATAACAGAAAGAAATGGAGGGAAAATGAAAATAAAAGCTAAATGGAGAAACAAAAGTAAAAGAAATTTACTTTCTTGAAATTGAATAAAGAGAGGGATCGAGGAGGATGAAGGAGAGAAAGGGAGAGAGG